TGTGTGAATGTTACAGATGCGAGATTGTGAATGTGTTCAGACGATTGCACGGGAAGCACAGATGAACTATTCCGTGGCAACGAACCAAGTAGTTTTTTTCTGTGGTTCTTTCTCTTGTCTTCTGGAGGGTTGTTTTGGAAAAGTTTTCGCATTTGATCCGATAAACCCAGTTTAGGCCTCGAAGAAAAGCTGTAAAACGTTGTTGTGTCTCAATAAACTTGGTCATTTTGGCTAGTGAGGCTTCAATGTGAGATGTCATTATCCGAACTAGGTTAATTCCATTCACTTGTAAGTTTTCCTTCAAGAGCAATTTCGAAAAGTTACGTGGAAATTGTCCGGAACATATACAATCCTTGTAAAATTGAACACGAGTTCGTTCAACCATAGATTTGCACCGTAATGTGAGCAAACTGTCAAGCGCTCGCGTGGAAGAGCGCTGTCATGGCAACAAGACACACAGTTGACCCCAATTCGTCTTTCAAACCACTATTACGTAATCGAAATGCAAAACTTTTAGCGATTAGTGAAGCACTGCTTATTCGACTACATCACCCGACCCTATGCGCACAGAAGTTTTTGAGACATGCGATCCACTTACCGTGGAGCTGACCTTCTACGTCTAAATTTAGTAATCATTGTATGCTTGTACACGTTTGTTCACCAAAATTGATTCATCCGATGTGGTATATATGTGCCTGTTTGTTATAAGTCAGCGACAATCAAATTTGTTCTAAAATCTTTTCACACACACAGTTCGACGTTAAGATAAAAATTCTTCCCGGTCAAAGTTGTGCCAAGACATGAGTACTCCAGAGACGCCTGAACAAATAATTTGATTTACAGAAATCCCTCTGTGGTGATCCGGACCTACGAGATGACGCGTACCCTGGAGTGATGCGTTACAGCTTTCGGACAACTGCGATCAATCAAACTTCACGGGTGACGTCAGCAACGAGCATACTTGCAACTGTTTCTGACTACATATCGTAGGTAGATTTTACCAGTCAATCAGAGACCGAGCGGTCTAGACAGAAGCAGAACGATGCCAGGAATACTGGAACGCGATATGTAGAAGGCTTGATAACCAATGAGCCTACTTTGTACATATTATTTAATCCCCTTATTTCTTCCAATAAACGAACTACTATTCCGGTGGCCTTTTCCTCGCGTCTTAGTTACGTGGGATATTGCGTGCTAGTGCCGGTGCGGTCCAGTGCTTAATTGATCCGGTCCGCGATTACTGACCCTTGATTCGTATTCCGTGATCCGTATTACATGGTTCCTATTCTAAGTTAAGTGTGTATTACTACTAGTACTACTACTACTACTACTACTACTACTACTACTACTACTACTACTACTAACCTTACACCCCCCTCCCTCCAATATTTGTACTGTAACCACTCTATCAATGAATTTCACTAATGCACTTTCTGACTTTTCTCACTCACGCTCATGTCGGCATGGCTCAATCGATTCCGAATAGTAGGCAGCTTTTCTGTTGCCCGGTTGAATACCACGCCTAAACTAGCGGAGCCTTATATGGTTCACCACTTCTATTCCCCCAGCTTAGGTTACTGGTTAACATCACTGAACAACAGGTCCTCATAACTATGGGGTTTTCCCCGCCTGCTGTTCATCACAATAAGCTGTGTAATGAAAAAAGTAACTCAGTTTTATTAGTTAGAAATACCAAATCGGTCATTTATCGGGTGCATGCAATATAGGATCGCCTGATGCTGATGCCATCACTGAGACTATAGATGTGTGTTATTCACAAATCCAATTCCAAACTAAATGATCGTTTAACGATTAGGCGACAAGAGTAGAGATTAAAGACGGTTATGAGGAATAGAGCAGTCATGAAAAACTACGGATCAGCGATCAAGTTTGTGAAAATTCGGTCTGCATATTTTATCCCTAGACCGCAGGATTCTTTATTCCACTCCGGGACGTTGTGGGTAGTGACGCTCCACATCTGGAGCACTATGGCTTGCTCAGGTGCTTTAGACTGAAACCGTTCTAGCTTTGTTTGAGTGATTCACAAGAAATGCAACTTTTTGAATCTGTCAACAACCAGAACTAATTTCAGTTGCAAAACCGAACTGTTCGGTAGTTTCATTTTATCGTTCCGATTCAAATCAAACACATTGTGCTTACAAATCAATCTGTCTATAGGATTGTAATGATGACCGTGTTTTTTATGATCGATTCTTTCACACTCACAAAATTTAAATCGGGTCGAGTCTACTTCAGGGCCCGGTCAGCAGAGGTATGTTGCCTAACGGACTCGGATAAGAATTTTCCATTCAAGAATATTAGAAGAGGTGAATCAAGAACCTGTTTTTTCATCAGTATGAGTCTTTGTGAATTAAGTCAAATCAGACTTACTACGCAGAAATGGACGTACCTNCACTATACTGTATTTCAATCGATCGATCGATAAAAAAGGATAGATTGATAATCCAGCCACCATAGTGCAGTACAAATTCAGGTGTTGAATATTTGTATGTGCTGTCCAAGCTGATCGACATTTTGGGAATTATTTGGTTGACTTATGGTGACCACTGCAACCAGAGTAGAAGTGAGTAATTCTGCTGTCCAGACATACGAACATAATCACATTAAAACGGCTCGATTTATTTTTCTTCCCACTTTCTAATCAAAATTTGTGGTCACAATAACCA